GAGAGGACTGGATTGATTGATGATTGATGATGTTGGATTGACTGATTGATTGATGATTTGATTAAATTTGGATTGGCTGATGGATTGAATTGGTAAAATGTTGGATGTTGGCTGCTTAATTGTCATATTTTGGATAATTGTTTAATTCGGTTGGGCAGCCAAGTGAGGGGGAGTTTTTCAAAATTTTTTATGATTCACTAAGTAAGGGGGAGTTCTTGTCTATTGAGGAAGGGGGAGTTTTTTATTGCAAACATCAAATCTCATTTCAAACCTTTGTTTTGTCATCATCAAAAAGGGGGAGAATGTTATTCTTGGTTTTGATGATCACAAAGGACTTTGAAATGTTTATCTAACTCTTTTCAAGTATAAGTATTTTTTGCCTATCAAAGAATCAGGTACGAATATGTCAAGAAATGAAAATCAACCAAAAGAAGAAGCAAAAACAGGGCACTCATGTCGGACGTCCGAAGGAATCGGTCGGACGTCCGAAGGAATCGGTCGGACGTCCGAAAGGATGAAGAACATCAAGAAGGAAATTCTGTTGGACGATCGTAAGGAAGCATCGGACGTCCGGATGGATCGGACGTACTCTTCGGACGCACAGCGAACGTGTCGGACGTCCTAAAAATTCCACGAAGTGTTGATGACTCTCTGCCAAGACTCTGTCGGACGATCGTAAGGAAGCATCAGACGTCCTGAAGGATCGGACGCATGCTTCGGACGCACATCAATCTCATCGGACGTCCTAAAAATTCCACGAAGATTTGATAACTCTCTGGACAACGTTCGGACACAGAAGCTCGGACGATAAAATCCCATCGGACGTCCGAACAACAACTTGACTGATTTTCGGACGATAGGATCGGACGATGACTAAGCCGTCGGACGTCCGACAGCCCCAACGGCTAGCTGACTCTTCATCTGCCTTCTATCCGTTGGAAGTATTAATGAAGCCCATTTTTGGTTCCCTTTAAATACAAACGATTCTGATTCAGAGGAGGACTTTTGCACACTTTGTCTACAAGATCTCAAGAGATATTTTAGCTTGAAAATAGTCTCCAAAGCTAGATTTGTTCTCCAAGTGGTGTGAATTTCTTGTGAGCATTTCTTTTGTGATTGAAAATTTCTTTAGTGTAGCTTTGTTGAGGGTTATCTGATTGATTGTAAAACTTCTTAGCTTGACTAAGTGAGGCTTAGGGCAAGGAGGAAGTGCTCCCTCCATTGTACATCTAGTTGATCATCTTTCATCAAAGAGAAGTTGCTCAACCTAGTGATTGGTCTTCAAATTTGAGGAAAGCTTGGTAGACAATCGGTTTGATATTCTATCTTATTCTTTTTGTTTAATAAAATTCTCATTGCTTATCTATACTTGTTTTTCGAATCAATATTGCTCTCCTCTTCTAATCTACTTGATTGATCATTACTAGAAAAGAAGGTAAAATTTTATTAAGCAAAAATTGCATAAATTTGATTAAGATTTTAATCAACCTAATTCACCCCCCTCTTAGGTTGTCTTTGGGCCTTACATTATGTAGTAAGCTGTTTTCTCGTTAGGAACAGTGGACTTGGTACCTGCTGTTTTAATAAGTGCTATTAAATATTGGTGGTTGGCCAGTATTGGATCCTTGTCCATGAGTCTATCCCTATATTTTAGTCTTTAAGTTAAGTGAAAATTTTTCGTTTGTCATTCGAAAGGAAGAAATTATTCAATGGACAGTGTATGGGTTTAAGAGCTAGCAAGAATAGTAACCAAGTTTTAACTCTTCTTTTTATCGAGATTAAAGTTTGTGTTATTTCTCACCTTTGATATTTTCACTGATTTTATTTAGCATGATGTTTTAGCCATTGCACTATTATGATTTTCTCTCTAGATAGATTTTGGTAGTGGCATGAGTGGAGAGATTTTGGAGGAAAAGCATTAAGCTTCCATTTTTCTTGAAGGTGCAAGGCAACTTTGGCAATAAACTTTCCTCTGCTTCTAATATATGCAAACTAGTGGTTTAGAGTTTCAATTTCGGTAGTTTCATGAGAAAATTTCATGGTTTGAAGTTGTATTGTGAAATTTTCAGTTTTAAGGTAATTTTCTGCCCACACATGATGCTCAGGTGTTGGCCATGGTTTGGTAGCTTTGCTATGTGAAATATCTAGCTTTTATATGCTAGTTTGACTTGCCTAAAGAAACGTCCAACTTGTGATTAGGAATTTTAGCTTAGGGTTTCATTTTCTAACTTGAGTAGGTGACAGTTATATGCTTGATTTAGTAAGTTATTGGCTTGATATGTATATGTTTGAGTTGAAGCTATTTTATGGGAAGAATAAAGCCTTGAATTGGCTGGAAAAAAAATTAGCAAGCACAAAGGACGCGCCGCTGAAAATTTTTCCGCAAGAAACCTTGGGAAGTTTTAGGAAATTTGTTATATCTTGATGTAGAAAAAGTCAAAATTGAGTTTTGTTTATTATGTTTGAAACTAGATTCAGAGTACTATCAACCGCAAAATTTCAGCATTTTCTGAAATTGCATACTTGTTCTATCTTTTACTGGATGAAGCAGCAAATTTAGGTTGGAATTTGACTTACTTGTGGATAGGATCTTACAATGGTACCTTCTAGAAAGTCGTAACCTTTTGAATCTATTTTCTGACAGTATAAAGTTTATAAATTTTGGACTTAAGAACCTTGAGATATGATTTTTCAAATGGTACTACGCAAAACTAGAAAATTTCTGTTTTCCTAGGACTGTTCATACTTTCATTTCCAACTTTAGGATTGGAGTTGATAAACTATTTTGATGTTGGTTTATGAGTGGAATAGAGCTTAAATGAAAGGAAATGAGTTTCTTCAAATCATTTTAGGTCGGACAATTTCCAACTTTGTATTTTGAACGTCTTTTCTAATTTCTCCAAACGTTTGACTATAAGTGATACTCTTGTGCTCTAAATGACTCTTGCAACATTGATTAGTAAGTACATGAGGGTTACTCCTTGATTGGAACAAGCAAGTATTATATTTTGATAGGTTATACGAGTATAAAACTTGTAAATCGATGCATGTTCCAAATAAAGTTTTGGAACCTCAATTCCTACATAATATGGCTTTGTATTGCTAGTCTTTTACTAAAGCATGTGATCACAGGACTTTAGTGTTTTTGCCAGCTACTTTTCAATCGTACTAGCCGTCTTCACGAAAAAAAAAAAAACCCTAGCCGTCTGATTTGCGACTGGTCACCAGTGTCGTTGATGGTGGAGGTGGTGGCTCGACCCTCTGCCGAGGGTGGGCCTTCGGAGCCGCCGGCCTTTCGCACGAAGACATTCTCCGATCTGTTCTCTTCTTCCCAGCAACGGGCTTCAATCACAGCGACGGTATTGACCCATCGTAGGGAGCCAGCGGTGTCCTTCTCTTCCACTGCCATTGAGGCTGTCGCGTTACCTTTCCGGTTTGCACTGGTAGGCAAGTTTTCCCGGGCCAGACCTTGTATGGAGGATGTCAGGAAATTCTTTTGCTCGCTGGACTTGAAAGACTCCTTCTCTGTGGGTTTGTTGGATGCAAGACACGTTTTGATTAAGCTACACAATGAATCAGATTTTTTGCGAGTTTGGACGCGCAATGTGTGGTATGTGTTTGGAAGCCCCATGAGGGTGTTCAAGTGGTCCTCTAACTTCCATGTTGATAGGGAGTCTTCTTTGGTACCCCTCTGGTTCAGTCTTCCAAAGCTCCCAGTGCACTTGTTTGATAAGCAATGTCTGTTCCAGATCGTGTCATGCCTGGGGCGTCCACTCTTCATTGATTCGGCAACTTCGACGTTAACCAGACCCAGTGTGGCTAGGGTCTATGTTGAGGTTGATCTTCTGAAGGAACTGCCACCACGGGTCTGGATTCAGATAGGGGAGGGGCCTGGCTTCTGGCAGCCGCTCGACCCAGAAAGCATTCCGAAATATTGCGATCACTGCTATCGGCAAGGCCATGACCAGACAGAGTGCCGCTTCAAGTACCCAGAATTGCGCCCTAAACTTTCTCACGGAGAGGAGAAGATGGTGCCAAGTAAGGCCGCCATGATGGCTCCTGGTGCAGCGGGGAAGGATTCAGCTCTGGCAGGAGGTCAAGGAGATGCCGTACAATTGGGGATTGAGGTCGTTGGGGTAGGGGACAGCTCAGCGCTGGGGGAGGAGCTGTTGTCGTTGATGCTCACGGGCAGACTCCGCGACCTGCTGCAGCGGGGGTGCAAGAGCAGGCTGGGCCTGTTGCCACTAGTGTACTGGAGCAGGCTGCGCGACCTGCTGCTGCTGCTGCGCCTGGACAGGCTGAGGTCCATTTTCGACTCCCATTATTGGAGAGTGCTCAGGAGGGGATCCCTGCTGGGTTGAGTACTCTTGCTGCGGCGGGAGAGTTTGGCTCTGTCGAGGGGACACCAGAGCAGTCCGCTTCTCTACTTGCGTTGGAGGTGGGTATGTCATCTTCACCAACCATTGGTGAGGTAGCTCCTGAGACTGGACTGGGGGTCGGTGATGAGCTTGGAGATGGCCCAGAGCCGTGTGAGTTTCCAGGGGAGGATAGGAGTATGGTGCAACTGTCCGCTTCAGCCGGAAACCTCTCACCGCGAGGTCTACCTTCTATAGAGGTGGTTCTGCCAAGGATCTCAAACAGTGCTCCGGGTGTACGGGATGATTCACTTCAGGTGGTTCGAAAGCACAAGAGCTATCGCTCAATAGCCCCGACAGATAGAACTCTCCGCTCTTCAGTACCCAAATCGCAGAATTCCTTCCAAGCATTGTCTGATGATTAGGTCACTCTTCTGGAATATAAGAGGTTTGTCCAAACCTTCTCATATTAGACGTCTTCGTAAAATTATCTCGCAAAATCACATTCAGTTTTTGGTAGTTTGTGAAACTCGAGTAAATTTTTCGCTCGCGGAAGGCTTTAGACAAAAGCTCTGTTTTGACACTGTAGTTAGTAACTCTTCTGGTTCCTTATGGTTGTTTTATAATGACCCGTTTAAGTTGGTAATGGTGGGTGAGGGGGCGCAGCATGCCTCGTTTCTCGTTTACCATAATTGCCTGCCTATACCTGTGACTATCTCCATCGTTCATGCATGGTGCACGAGGGAGGAGAGAAGGGCACTGTGGAGTGGCTTGCTGCGGGACAAACCCTTGCATGGGCCGTGGCTAGTTGGAGGGGACTTTAACGTTGTGGTTGAGACGGGGGAAAAGAAAGGAGGGTTGCCTTTCCCTTGCTCTCTGTCGCTTGACTTTTTGGACTTCATGTCCTCCGCGGAGTTGTTTGATGCTGGCTTCTCGGGCTCCTCGTTTACGTGGTGTAATAATCGCTTGGGTCGGGCAAGAATTTGGAAACGGCTGGACTGGCTTTTACTTAATGCCTCATGTTATGATGTTGGTCTCGCAGTGTCGGTCTCCCATCTAGCTAGGGACCCGTCAGATCATTCTCCCCTCTTGCTCTCTGTCAAGACACGGGAGGAGGGGAAGCCCCTCCCCTTTCGATTTATAAATGCGTGGACCACCTATGCTGGATTTAGGGATGTTGTTCAGTCCTCCTGGCAGCAAGGGTGTTCCGGCTCTCCCTTCCAAATAGTTTGTTCTAAGTTGACCCGACTAAAAGCAGATATCAAAGGCTGGAATAAACGATGCTTCGGGAACATTTTTGCCAATTCAAGGCGGGCAGAGGAGGCCGTACTTGAAGCGGAGAAGCGGGTGGAAGAGGAGGGGTCTAGTGATGCCCAGGAGTCATTACAGCGTGCCAATGTTGAGTGGCGGCGTTGTTTACTGGTGGAGGAGAATTTTTGAAGGCAAAAAGCAAAGGTTCGATGGCTAGGCTTGGGGGACAAGAACACTAAGTTCTTCCATTCGGCGGTTAAGCAGAGGAGACTACAATCTTTTGTTCATCGGATCCAGGATGATCAAGGCTACTGGATTGATTCTGAGGAGGGAATTGGTGCTGAGGCTGTTCGGTATTTCTCATCTCTCTTCTCGGCGGAGCCTACCTCTTCTTGGGATTTATCACCCATTATCCCCAGGCTAATTCAGGAATCCGACAATGAGTTATTGGAGAGGGTTCCTTCGATGGAGGAGGTGCGTCGGGTGATTTTTGCTATGGATGGGGATAGTGCTGCGGGACCGGATGGGTACACGGGTAAGTTTTTCACGTTCGCTTGGGACATCATTGCCCAGGACATCTATAATGCTGTTGTTAGTTTCTTCTGTGGAGAGGAGGTGCCGCGGAGGGTCACAGCGACATTTATTCTGTTAATTCCAAAGGTGCAGAACCCAGCTTCCTTTGCACAGTTTCGGCCTATAAGCCTGTGCAACTTCCTCAACAAAGTGCTTTTCCGAATTCTTGCAGAGAGGTTAGCTCCGCTGTTGCCCCGTATTATCTCTCTGAATCAAAGTAGGTTTGTTCGCGGACGTCAAATCTCTGATAACTATTTACTTACTCAGGAGGTGATCTCGGGGATTGGAAGGAAAAATAGGGGGGGAAATGTTGCACTGAAATTGGACATGACAAAGGCCTACGACAGGGTCTCATGGGTCTTCCTGGTCAATGTATTACGTACATTTGGGTTTGGCGAAAGGTGGATTGATATGGTTTGGCGTCTGATTTCCAATCCATGGTTCTCGGTTCTCCTTAATGGGACGCCTCATGGCTTTTTCCCTGCTTCGCGAGGGCTCCGGCAGGGGGACCCGCTCTCCCCTTCCTTGTTTATTTTAGCAGCAGAGGTCCTATCTCGTATGTTAAACCAACTGTTGCATCGCCCTGGGTTTTGCGGGTTCAAGGTTCCTAGAGCTTGTCCTTCTATTACTCATCTGGGCTTTGCGGATGACATCCTTATCTTTTCTAGTGCGTCCACGTGTTCTTTGAAGATGCTTATGGAGACGTTGGCACGGTATGAAGGGGTCTCAGGGCAGAGTATAAATTCCGCAAAGAGTGGCTTTATGGTTCACGTGACGTTGCCTCGGGGCAAGAGAGCTCTAATCCAGCGTATTACGGGCTTCTCGCAAAAGGAGTTTCCAGTTCGCTACCTTGGTTGTCCGCTATTTGTGGGAAGGCAGAAGAAGGAGTTCTTTCAGGACTTGAGCAATGCGGTGTACTCTAAGATTAGCTCTTGGAAGAATCGACTGCTATCTCCGGGAGGTAAGGTGGTTCTTATCAAACATGTGCTGTCCTCGATCCCTCTTCATTTATTGGCCATGGCTCACCCTCCGAAGTCGACGTTGGGCTCACTCGAGAGGCTCTTTGCTAACTTCCTTTGGAGAGCCGTTGAGGGTATAGACAGACACCACTGGATTCGCTGGAGGGACCTTTGCGCTGCTAAGGAGGAGGGTGGGGTGGGGTTCCGGTCCTTGTCCGATGTGGCTAGGGCTTTCTCGGTGAAGTTGTGGTGGAGGTTTCGACAGCAGTCGTCCCTGTGGGCTATCTTCATGATGGCGAAGTATGTCACTCATGCTCACCCAGGGATGGTTGGTGGCTCAGTGGGGGCGTCAGTCACGTGGTGCAGGATGCTCCAGGTGCGGGAATTGGCTGAGCGGCACATCACCTTTGTTATTCGATCGGGGAACTCTCATTTCTGGTTTGATAACTGGCTAGGTTCTGGGTCGCTGTCCTCGCGATTGGGAAGTGTGTCGGATCATAGGATAGCTGATTTCTTGTTAGATGGACGGTGGAACTACCAACTATTGGCGGAATGGATGCCTGCTGATATAGTAGCTGAGATCATCCGATTTACCCTTCCGCGGATTGAGGAGGGGGAGGAGGACGTTATGGTGTGGGCCCCCTCACAGTCTGGGGTTTTCACGGTGCGCACGGCTTTTGAGTTGGTGCGCTGTCATGGGCCGCGTTCATTTATCTTTTCTCGGGTATGGCATCCTATTGTCCCGGTTAAAATCTCATTCTTAATGCTTCGACTACTGCGAGATCGACTGCCACTGGACTCTACGATAAGTAAATTTGGTATCTCGGGTCCCTCAAAGTGCTTTTGTTGTACGGAGTCTAGGGTTGAGTCTCTAGACCATCTATTTTGTGGGGGTGAGGTTGCTGGAGCGGTTTGGCAATTTTTTGGTGCGCCTGCGGGGGTTTTGTATGTCGGTGCCAAACTACGAGGGTACATGGCTAGTTGGTGGTTTACTCCAGGTACGAATGAGTTCCTACAGTTTGCCCATCTGGTTGTCCCGTCTTCGATCTACTAGAATATTTGGAAGGCTAGGAACAAAGCGCGATTCGAAGGGGTCGTTTACTCTCCGCATGCTATCCGGGGATTTATTTTTGACGATATACGGAATCTCTTCTCTCTGAAGTATCCAGGATCCTCCTGGGCCCTTCCGACATGGCAACTTTTCTACGAGTCCCTCGGCTCTCGTCGCGGTCACGTGTCTTTCAGATTGGTTAAGTGGTTGAGGCCGGCAATGGGAGAGCTGAAACTCAACACAGATGGTTGCTCCAGGGGAAATCCGGGCCGGGCAGGAGGTGGTGGTGTCTTACGTGATGGTGAAGGTAAGTTCTTGTTCGCTTTTTCCACTTTTACTGGGAGCTGTTCCAGCATCCAGGCTGAGGCAAGGGCTCTTCTCTTTGGGGTTCAATTGTGCATTGCCCGTGGCCATGTGAGAGTGCACATGGAGGTTGACTCTCTGGTTCTCGCTCATATCGTTCAGCGGGTAGCCCGGTGCCCATGGAGTATTGATATGGAGGTCCGGTCCCTCCTGCAGCTGCTGCCCCATGTCGTTAGTATTACTCACTATTTCCGAGAGGCTAATCAAGTGGCTGATATTTTATCTAATGTTGGCTGTGATGACGGCTATGACAGAACCTATTACCATCTTTCGGAGCTCCCTTCTCATGCTCGAGGAGCATTTAGGTTAGACAGGCTTGGCCTTCCTTCCCTTCGTAAATGCTAGGTCCACCCTAGTCTGGTCCCATGCGTTGTCCTCCTGAGAGGTACGGGCTATGCCCCCCTCTGGCACTGGCTATTTGTTTGAAGGAATAAAATCAGTAGTGTGTTCTTGAAAAAAAAAATGTGATCACAGGACTCGAGAGAGGGTTAAAAAGGAAATTCACGCAAAATATCCTGAACTATTCAGTAATCAAGGAAAGAATTTCGAGGACGAAATTCTTTAACGGGGAGAGAGTGTGAGAACCCTCACTTTAAAGTATAATTTTCCTAAACTACATGCCTTGTCCTAAGATTTAAACCACTCATTGTATGCCCTAGCATTGTATTTTACATGTGTTACAACAATTCTCTTGTATTGACCCTCACTTTAAAACACAATTTTTTTTCTTATCTACATGCTTTATTCTAAGACTTAGACCACTTATAAGATGCCCTTGCATCATATTCCCTATGTATTATAACATTTTCCATGCATTACATTTCATTTCCTTTTATTTGAATTAAAACAATTTCTTGAGTTGGTTTTAAATAATTCACCACTTGTATTTTACCAAGTGTTCTTTTATTAGTGGTAGGGACTTTACATGAAGGATTAGAGGTGTTAAATAGGTATTGGTACATTTGGAAGGGTTGAACTATCATTAGTCAAAGGATTAAGAGAAGTTATGGACAAGAAATGGGCTATGTGGCAAAACCCTAGCCAAGTATTTTGTTTGACCAAAGATTAGAAGATAATTTAAACTAGCCTTAGCCATTTTTTCTCCCTTATGGCCAAATTTCTTGAAGCTTAGAGAGGAAGAGAGAAACTCCATTTTTCCTTGCTTTCCAACCCTAGTAAATCAAGAGCAAAAACCAAAAGAGAAAGATCTTGAGTTAGTTGAGAAACTTTCTTGCAATCCTAGAGTTTGTTCCAAGCTTGAAGCTTTCACTTTGGTGGGTTGTTTGGTGACTTAAGCAACTTGTAAGAGAGGTAAATGACCTTTAAATTAGAGTTTTATGATGTTATATCATCTACTTTAAGTTTTAATGGCAAACTACAAGTTGTTTTGGTTGAGATTCGGGGTTAATTTCTTGAATGAAACAAGTAGTAGTTGAGTTAGTTTTTATGCCTACCAAGTGTTTGATGAAATGTTTGGATCTTGTTCATGTTTGTTTATGAGGTATTAACATGTTTTAAACCTCTTTTGAGTTAGATCTACCACTTGATGTGTTGTTTAAATGAAAATCATGAAAGGATGAAATTTAGATGAACATGTAAACTTGTGGACTGATTTTCTTGCCTTGGCTGACCGGTATTGGAAGAAGGGGTTTCCCTTTGATTTTTGTGGTTCAAGTGTACTCTATTCAAGCCTAATAATCATGGCTAGACATTGTTTAAGCTCATGGGTGAGTTGAATGAAATTTGAGCAAGTAAAGTAGTGGTTTGGTCTATATAGTGGACTGGTTTGGTTTTCTTGATGACTAGGCTACTATGGTTATTCTTATTCATGTTGATGTATTATATATTGAACTCCAATGGCCCTAGATGATGTGATGCCCTGTATATGAACATTTGAGGACTGATTTGGGTGAATTTGAACCAAAACAAATGAAGATAGCACCAAGAACTAATGTAGTTTTGCTTGAGGTTAGGGCTGATCCAGGGTTCGAAAAACAGCCAACTTGTCCGACCTACTGGTACTGCTAGGAGACGAACTAGAGCGTGTAATTGGTACCGTTGGAAAGCCCTTCGAGTCTAGATTCCAACACCACTGGCGGAACCTAATTCCGACCTTCCTACAGTGAGATATGACCGTTTTCCCAAGACTGCGCGGGCCCAACTGTTTTACCCGCGAAGAACATTTTGAGCTTGAATGAGACTTTTATTTTGCCCAACTTTCTTGCACTTGTCAAACTTTTTTTTGTGAGGACTCGTAAATTCCTTATATTTTTCTCAAAAATGCCCTTTTATTTGGAAATTATTATTTATTAAAACCCTACTACCCAATCATTCCCCAATAAGTGCAAATGAACCTAGAAAGTAGGGTTTCACTCTATGTTTTCAGGATTGGAGCAAACTAGGGTTTTCGCTATTTTTCGCCGGATGATTTTTCGGTACGGAGCAAGGATTCAAATTTGGTGATTAAGAGTGACTTTTAGGTGAGAAATAATATGTGATTAGGAGCCATGATAAAAAGTTAGTGATTGGGAAGAAAAAACCCTAGTACGTGTGTTTTAAGGAAAAACGGCGTGAACCAACGGGTACCGCGCACTACCGATTGAACGCACCACTTGACCACCACTTTTTTACCACATGAGCTCATTAATATTTGATCAAAATATCCCCCTCATGGCCAGCTAGCCTTGACCGAAAATGTGGACCAAATGCAAAGAAAAGAAAGAGAAAAAAAAGTGGTGGTGGTGGCGCCACTTGTCGCCACCTAAGGGTTTCTACACCCACTAAGAGTCCAACCATTTTATCCCTCATTTTGCTCTTTCTTCTTCATTATTTCTGCTGGTGGCCGAGACTAGAGAGGGGAAAAGAGAGAGCAAAACCCATCTTCCTTCATCTTGAATTTGAGCTACAAAGTGAGGAAACAAAGAAAGTAAACCGATTAAAGTTATCTTTGAGTGTTGATTTAGTGAGGTGTTGGTGAATTTTTGAAGGGGAAAGCTAGGGTTGCTCTTGGTAGACACTAAGCAAGGTAAGGATGACGATTTCCCCAATTTTTACTCTTAATCTTGTTTAAATTAGCTTAGCATCTCAAATTTGTGGTGAATAATGGTTGTTATCATGTCTTGGGTGTTGCTTTTCCTTGTGGATACATGAATTAGGGTTTGATGAATTGCCGTCAAACTTGATGTATGGTTAATATATGTTGTATCCAAGATTGTATAGGCGGTTTTGGTAGCAAGTGAAGCAAGAAATGAAGAAAGTTATCATTGGAATAAAAAATTCCAGATTTCTGGAAATTTTCAGCTCTATTCTGTCCGGTTTTATTTCATCATGTTAGAGGCCGAATTAGGCTTGACATAAAACATGAAAGTTGTAGAGAATGGTATTTTATAGGTTCCTACAAAATTTCAGCTCAATCGGAGTAACGTAGCCTGTGAAAAGACTAAAATACCCTCACTATTTTAGGATGTTTCCAGTGTTCCATTTTAGTCAGTTCATCCAGTTTATCATGTTTATTCACAAGGATCCGTGCTGATTTAGCCATTTTCCAAAACATAAAAGTTTTAGTACTCTGTCTTAGATTTTCAACACCTACAAGAACACCTTAAACAGACCTTGGTAGCCTGAGTTATGACCATTCTAGTGCAGTGCAGTTAATTAGCCGTATAGTTGGAAGTTGGCTCTGTAAATTGGGAATTTGACCAGGTTACACTGGAAATTTGACTAAGTGACCTTCATGAAAGTTGTAGACCTTCGTCTTAGCTTCGAAACGGTATAGGTTTCACACCAATCCGATAAGCGTAGCCTCAGATGTGCTTTTTCTGTAAAAACCCGTGAAATCTGTCTTTTGTAAACTTCATTTCCGCATTTGTTATTAGTTGATTTATGTTTTTGTATTGTCTTGAGCCTATGGAATGGCTATTGAATGCATTTGTGTTGTGTATGACCGTGGGCTTGAATGAGAAATATAATGAAGCCAAAATGGCTGGAAAATTAGGTAAACACAAAGGGCATGCTGTCCAAATTTTCGCTCGAAGACTAAGTTTCAATTTGAACTGGTATACTTACGTTTGGTCTATGAAACCCTAGTTATTTTTGTCCACGGGTCCAAATGTCCTCGTTTCACTTTAAAGTCTTTTTGTACGTTCTACTCAATAATTGTCGAGTTTCTTTGATTGCACCTAATTGTTGTGCTAGATGATCTGTAATATTCTTTCTCGTTTAATTTAGGTTTTCTCGGTGACTGAGGATAATATCCGGAAGGATATTTTACCCGTTATTTTGCGTACATAGGTGAGTGTTTCTTGTTTGTTATATTCTCCATGACTTCATGACTTGTTGTTGTTGTTTGATGATGTGTTAAGTGTTTTCAATGATTTCCAAAACGAACTTTCTAGGCGAGCGTGTACTTTATCGCGCTCGACCTAAATGAAACGTGAAATTTTCAATGATTTAATGATTGAAATATTAGTTGCGCATGATGTAAGCCTTTTGGCTGAATTGGGCCCTGCCCTTCGTTACCGATCGACTCGAGCCAGAAACGGACTCGATCGAGCGATAAGGTGACCCTGGGTTAATTTGGTATACTCGAGTATTACCTTGTAGTCCGGCCACGTCCGGATGGGTGGAGTCCGGCCAACGTTCGGATGGGTGGAGTCCGGTCAACGTCCGGAAGGGGATGAATGAATGAACGAAGGCACGAGGGTTTTACTTCTCAAAAAGGAAATTTTCAAATAATTGGAGGAATAAGGGAAAATGTCAGGGGAACGAATGAACGAACGAATAGCTCCATGTGAGCTCGTATCCTTTTAATGAATGTGTTACTATCGCTTTCCATTGTAAAAATTTCTTGAATTATTGATACTCCATGTTTAACGTATTGAATTGACTATCTGACTATGTGTTCGGAACCTCACTGAGCTTTTAGCTGACCCCTTTAGTTTTGTTTTCCTTAACAGGGGACAGCGAGCAGGATGAGAGCATAGACTAGCCTAGTCTAGTTCTTTTGTTATTTTTGTAATGGTTCTCGCCCTAGTGCTTGGCACAGGCTGGACATATGAAGGATTGAGAACCTTTGTATATTCGATCTTTATACTCTCTTTTGGGATGGCAATGTATATAAGTTCCGCTTTAAGTTTGGATCGCTGCCCTATTTATTCTTGTGATTTATTCCGATTTTAATTGAGAACAGTAGTGAACGACTGAGTCCCGGCGAGAGTTGGGCAGGCGACCTGCCGAACCCTGGGGTACGCCCTAGGGGGAGGTAGGGCCGTCACAGGTGGTATCAGAGCTTAGGTTTCAGATCTCTATAGTGTATTCTCGACTTGAAGTTTAGGATGCCGGACTTT